ATTGTTTGCGGAGCTGTCTTATTATTCTTTCATTCCTAGAGATCCTTTTTCTCTCTCTTCCTCAGCTTCTTTGTATTCTTGTTCTCTAATTTCTATTCCACTGACTGTCTCCTCTACTTCTAATCTGCTTTTAAATGCCTCCATTGTATGTTTCATTTCAGTTACTGTATTTTTCAAATCTCTATCTTTTTCTTAAAGTAATCCCTGAGATCTTATATATTTTTCTGTAGCTCTGTGAGCATGTTTATGATTTTTATTTTGAAATCTTTATCAAGAAGATTGGTGATTTCAGTTTCACTGAGCCCTCTTTCTGTTGTTTGAGGGATTTTGGATTGAACAAGGTTCTTTTGATATTTCATTCCAACTTGAAAAATATGGAATGATAACTTTGTGTAGGTGATGCCATCTAGTGCCGAAGAGCTCTGCTCTCTGGAGTATCCCAGCTCCTGGAGCAATCACAGAGTTTGCAGGTGAACAGTGTCAGTGCCTGCCAGAAGGACAGAGCTCTTTCCTGCTTCCTGGCCACAGTGCCTGCCTCTACTGCCAGAGCCAAGTGGGCCAAGTGCACACACAGGGAGCAGCCTCTTCATTAGGCCCCTATAGCTGCCATAAGTGGGGCTGCACTCTGGATGTCCTGGAAGGATAGCAGGGGCAGCAGATTTGCTAGCAGGTGCTGGCTGGGAGGAAGGAATGGCAGGTTTCATATCATGGTGGGGGCTTCAGGGTTGCATTGCCAGCCAGGGAGGTGGAGCACCTGAGTCTACTGTAAGTTGCCAACCTGCTGGGCTGAGTGTGCTGGGAAGATTTTGCCCACCTGTCCTTTCTCTGGAGTAGGAAGCTCTGTGTAATCCTTGCTCCTTTAGCAACCCTCTCACTGTTGGGAAGTCTTTCAAAGCACCTGCCTTTCTTTTGTCCCAGAGCAGCTGGTTGTGGGTACCTGTTTTCCACAAGTGACTAGAATCTCAGTCTCTCTGTGTATTCCTCCTCTTCCTGCTTTCCAACCCCTCTATTCTCCAGAGCACCATGTAATGTGGTTTTGTGCTCCCTGAGAACATCTCCAGGGCTGGGTATTTAGCAGTACTTGGTTTCTACTCCCTCCCTGCTCTGTTCTCTTCTTCCTGCTGGTGAACTGGGGTGGCGGAAGGGTTTGGGTACTACTGGATCACAGCTTTGCTACTTTATCCTTTTCTGTGAGGTTTTCTCTTTTCCCAGATGTAAGCTGTCTATTGCAGTTTCCTTCTGGTCACTCTTTCAAGATTAGTTGTTTTTGCTGGGTTTCATGTTATATGTTGTTTGGGGAGGAGATTTCTACCTCACTTCTCATGCTGCCATCTTTTCCCCTCTGGCAAATGCACTATTTGATAAATTCTCAATACTTTGTGTTTTATTTTTTCTTAGTAGAAGTCTTTCTCCCAGGTATATACAGGCTCCAAACTCCTTCCCATTTTCCCAAGTATTCTGTGCAAATAATACAATTGTGTCTTGTGTTTGTGTGTGTGTGTGTACACGTGTGTGCATGCAATGTGATAGGAACAAGTTTAGGAAGCACAAAGGAAAAGGAGTTACCAATCAATTGTCAGTAACTGGGAGACGTGCCCCCACCTTCAGGCTTTCCAATTGCTCCAACTCAAAATGCCACTTACATTGAAGGTGGATTTCATAGTTCTGCTTCACCCCAACCTCTCCATTTCAAATCCTAGAACCACAAGTCTAGCCTGAGGAAAGGGGATAAGGTGAGTAGGGGTAAACTTTCAACTGAATAGGAGGTTTCAAGTTAAAAAGAAAATCTCTGTCTCTTAATAACTAAAATGAGACTTTCTAGAATAAATGAGATTTTATTGAGTCAAATTGACATACCAATTAGGAAACTGGGGACTCACTAGGAAAAGAGGTGCCATTGAACATGGAAGGTGCCAATCTTTGCATCAAAGGAATGCTTTTCATGTTTATGCCTCCAACAAAGTGAGATTTCATAGTAATCCAGTCATACAGATTTAAAGTATTTTGAAAATTGCATTCAACATTATTTTGGATATGCACATTAGACACCCTTTCAAACATTTTAAATAATCTGAATCAAAACAAACAGCCTATGAGTATCTGGGTTTAACTCCCTGCTGCTTTCCCTTCCCTCATTCCTCAATGTACAAAAGGAAAAATTCAGGCTTGTTCCTAATATCTATGCAATAATATAAAAAAACTTTTCCTACTGTTTTGAAAGTATGATTTCAGGACCCAGTACTTTTGTACATAGCCAAGATGAATGTTACACAAAGAGACAATGCAAAAAATATTTCTCCATATTTGGGGGTGATCAGAAAATGTATTATTCATGACCCACCTTTGAAAACTTATTTAAAAAACTACTCCAACAGACTAAACTATGCATTAATATTGAAAACTTCAGAGTGATGAGTACAACTGCAATTGAACACAAGATTAAATTCCAAATAATTGGAATAAATTTGAATATTTTTAATTTAAGGGAAATATATGTAAAAAGTTAGACATTCATTGCCTATAGGTTGCTTGTCAAATGCTAAATAAGGGTTTCTCAAATAATGTGTCACAAGAAACTTGTCACATAAGAGGTCTGTGATAAAACCTTCAGTGGTTACATAATTTTTAGATTATTACTCTAGCCCCTCTTAGATAGTCATACTGCATTTTAAAGGCTTCAGAAGGCTTGGATCAAGGTAACATGTTTAAATTTGTGTAAAAAATGTTTTCCACATTTATCTGTTCTTAGAAAACTCTTAAAAAGCACTCCTTAACATGTTAGGAAATCCTATCTGAAATAGAATATTATGGCAAAGACCAGAAAAATTATATCAGGGAAGAATAACTGCTTAATTATTCATTTTATTTTGGGACAATCCAAAGTTATCATTTAATTCTCAAGTCTGATATTTAAGTAGGCAAATGTATGCCACTGGCAAATATCTATCTGTATATCCTGTATCATATTGAGGGATCATTGGCGTTTTCACTCATTTGTTCATTCATTTTTAGTTAAGGCTTTGATTTCCACAAGCTCTGTTAGTGAGAATTTTGTTAATTCTTCCTTCAGGTCTCAGTTCCAACCCATCACTTGCTCATACTATTAAAGTAAGGGGGGGTCGAGGATTCGGCCTGCTTCCATATGCGGAAAACAAATTGGAGGTTGTCATCTCAGAATCCCACTAATGCCATTACTTTCACATCCTGTACTGTTTTGAGAGTATTGTTTGTGGGCCTGGCATGCCCTTGCTTATTCACATCTCTTCACATAGACACTGAGGTTTCTAGATTTCATGCTCAACTATTGTTTTCTGATTCTCAATCACTGAGAGGGAGCTGCGGAGGTTTCAGCGTGATACACACTGATCCCCAGATGGTGAGCCTAGTCTTATGCTGGTCAAGGTAAACTTACTGCAGGTGGCTCTGGCCACCTCAGTGGAAATTATTGGTTTTCCTTATTTTGAACTTTGGTGAGCAGGAATCGGGGGAATTTGAATCTCCCAGAAGGCCTCAGCTTCTTATAAAAACTGGCCACTTACTTCCAGAGCTGCTCATGACAAAGTATTTGGCATATAACTTCAATCAAAAGATTTTATGCCTTTAGTCCAGGTCAAGGAGCCTTCTTGCCTCATATTTATCTAACTCATGATATTCTTCACAAAGTTTCAAATGGATTTTTTTTGTCCTGAACTCTTTATCAAAAAGCACTTCATGTAACTGTTTGCAAAAATAATTCTAATTTCTACAGGAAATGTTTATAGTTTCCTAGACTAGCAGAGTTGTATATATGCAATAAAAACAGTGCACATGTATGTGACATAAATATTAAGAGTTTATCTACTATCTCACTTAAGAAGAAATTTAGGGGTCGTCAGGTCAAAGGTTGTTAAACCTACTCCAAATGCCATCAAGGTTCCTGGTACTTTTTATTTGTTTGCCATCCTTAATGGGTGAAATGCCTGCCATCACCACAGCATGATGGCTGTTGCAGCAGCCCCAAGACCATGGGCTCATGTAAATCAGTTCCATGTGAGAAGAGAAAGGGGAAGTCCCAGGGGTGAGAATGTTCTTTTCCCATAGCCCTTCTTATATAGAGGGAGAATCTTTCCTAGAAACTCTCCAGCAGACATCCTTTAGGCTTTGTTGACCACAAACATTTTGCACTGTCCCATCACCACCCCAGAACTGGGTCACACTGCCATCCCAGGACTGTGTCCTATGGCCACCCAAATACTATGTATCCCATGGTCACCCAGAACATGCTAGAAATGTGGCACTTCACCACCCAAGAGCTTTGTTACATGGCCATTCCAGAAATGTGTTACGTCATCACATTGCCACTGTGGGACGGTCATGTTGCCCCCCCAGCTGTGTCATGTTGCCATTTCAGGACTCTGCCACAAGGCCATCCCAGAACTGTATCACGTCACCATCTCCAGCAGCAAGGAGGCTGGAAATGCTGGTAATTCGCATTTTAGGTTCTCTTGTGAGAGGCAAACTGTCCTAGCAAAGAAGAAAGTGTCACAGGTTAGGTTAATCATGGAATGCGCAAAGCCTAGGTCATTATTTTGAGGATAGAAGAATGAATATACTGAAGGAGACGAGAGAGATGGCTAGCAGGGCAAGGTAGCAGACAAATGTTTGTCAGCTATGTTCTCCACATTCCAGTCTCTGTGCTCAGGTGAGCTTCCAGTCATCAGGAAAAGCAACATGGGGCTGTTTCCACCCCAGTGTAGAACTCCAGAAATTAATTCCAGGGTCTAGGATCCCTTCTTTCTATCATCAATACACCCAGGAGAGAGCATATCAAATGGAGGTGCTCACCCAGCTCACATGTTTCTCAGTGCCTACATTCTTCTTTTCTGTTTTCTTCTAGGTGAGGGCCAGAATCTTAGCACAGGAGTCAGGAAAGGATAGCCAGCTCAGGCACCATCCGCCCAGAGGGGAGGGAGTGGAAAAACCCAGTTTGTTATCAGGACAGCATCTCCCTAGAAACTCAAAGGCAACACTAGGGGATAACATTTTGCTTGACTGGAGCTGGCCTGACACTGGCAATCACATCCCTAAATAAAATAATTCTTTTCTGTGGTGCTTCCTAAATATGACCTGACTGGTACTTTGCAAGTTAATTTAAAATTTAAAAAAATTCTTCAACTCATTTCTCTCTTTACTGAGTATTGTTATTTATGTAAAACCTTATGGGTTATTCGCTTCTGGAATTGTCTAATGAATGTGAAATAAAACACTTTCAGTTAGCTACGCAGAAATGTAAACATGTTTAAGAGGCTACCAAGATGGCATGACATCTCTCCCTTAGTTGTGTTAACTAATTCAGGGTGCCTTTTAAATGTCCACAGTTCTCTCTGAATGTGGATGGTGGGGGGCAGTGTTCAAGGAGCTGTGGAGGCTAAGGTGTTGCTTGCAGCCTCCCAAGATCCAGGGTTTTTGCAAGCCAGCTGAGCACAGTGTTTGAGAAAATTACAGAGCAATGTTCCTGCGAGGAGCAGGAATCAGCCCTCCCTCCCACTGCCTAACTCCAGGCTGCAGCGCCCACCGTGTTCTTCGTTTCTCTTCAGTGCCAACCTGACTCTCAAAAATGTCACTAATAAGCTAGTTCCCAATTAGCTGTGGAGATTTTTCAGGGCTCTTGGCAATGTTCCCACAGCTTCTTGAGGCTGTTGCTGCCTACAAACAGGATCGTTTCTGCTTTGCAAGATTCAAAGGCAAGAGCTGCTGGGAAGGCAGACTCTGGTTTCATTATTCCTTGCTAGCAGGAGAACAGAATACATTGTTTTTAATGCTCAAATATGTCATTTGAGAAAAAAACAAGTCCTCCGGCCTGAGCCAGCTCTCTGTTACTTATCTGTGCAAGTTCCTGCACACATCCAGCAGCCCTGGATGTTCTCACACAGGAGTCCTCAGGAAATCCTGCACAGCAACGCAGAGGCTGCAGGGTATACACTAAAGGAAGCCCAAGCTGACAGCTGGAGAATGAGACTTGTAAATAAGGCAGCAACAAGGGTCTGTCATTTAGCTTTTGAAACAGGGACAGTAGGTCCACCCTTCAGGTGCCTTTGAGTTTGTGTGGGCTGCCAGTAGGGAAGGTGAGCTCCACTTGGGTTTTTAACAGATGCCATAGCAGGCAGCCCCAGTCTTTCTCTCTGAACCACTTTGTTGGTAGAAAGTTAATCACTGCTTTGTGTCTCTACTTAGAATGTGCTTAGAACACATGGGAAGAATGCTTTTCCATTATCCTTGGAAGGTATCAGTGCAAGGCTTGGCATCCGTGGCTTCTAAATATAGAATTGAATCTTGTTTGTCCTCAAAGAACAGCTCAAGTGTCTCAGCCCTTCTTGCCAGTAATCAACATGGGTCCTTTTGTATGCACCCACATCTCAGGCTCCTGTAAGTTTTATGCATAAAATCTTTTTATTTCCATTTTACAGATTACTTAGGTTTACAAGCCCAATCACTGGTAGAGCACAGCTCACATTCAAGTCTAGTTAATTCTGAATCCCATGCTCTTTCTACTCTGTCACCTGTCTGAAACCAGGGACTGAGCCTTTAGAGACCTCATATAAGGTAGGTAGTGAGGAAAAAAAGAGGGGAGATTCTTGCTGCTAGTTAGGACCCTTGGCACTTTGTACACCAACGTTTTGGGGATGGAATGCTGATACTGTGGAGATATGCTATAAAGATGGAGGCCTTTTTATAATATCCCTAGTTTAATTTGAGTGAATTGAGAAGTGGAATTTAGAAGTGGAAATCATTCTTTAACAAGGGGCTGTGTGTTTATATATTCCTTGTCACTTGGATGTAGACAAGTATGTCCCACACATTGCACTAAAGGCCCTTAAGGCAGTATCACTAGGAAGTGCCTAATAAATACATGCTTAATACTATCGCTTTTGCCCATTGTCACTTACACATGAATGGAAGAGATTAACTGCAGCACCTGTGTGTTGGTGCTTTTCTTAAATCACACTTTGCACATTTCCAGGTATTTAATTATTTGGGTGCAATCTATTTGCAATGTTAAGAGTGAAAGCTGTGTGAGGACAGCGGCATTTGTATGGTTTCCTGTGAATGTCCGGGGCCTGTGGTCTTCTTGAAGCATCATAGACAGTGGATGAATGTTTGTGGTGGGCTGGCTGGCTTACCTGTTACACTGCACTGACATGTGCATGTGTCAGGGTACGTGTGTGCTGAGGGATTCCAGCAGGGCCATTTCTGCCTGACCAGGAGCAACTTCAGGGGAGCCGACACAACAGGAGCTCCTCCCTCACCTGCCTGCTCATTGACGAATCCTCTGCTAGTCTCAACTTGGACAGAGAGGGCAGGAATCAATCTGTCTTTTAAAATATGAGTAGGTTTGCTTTTTATAATGTCTCCTGTAGAAAATGAATAAAATGAAATATGGAACAAGAAAAAATGAAATGGTGGTTTTCCCTTTTCTCGCAATAGTACATATTATATCTCAATTTTCTCTTCAAAAAGTGCCATCTTAAACTTACTTTCATCTTCCTACAAAGCATCCATGTTATAGAAATAAGTAATAAATTATCATAAGAGGGGGGAGAAAGAAAGTATTGCTTTCATCCTTCCACTTCATTTTACTTGCATAATTGAGTGAAAGAATAGAAAAGGAAAAATTTATCCTTTTCTTGCTCAACATTGATGAGGTACATATTCTAGGCACTGTGGCCTCCAAGGGATTAACATCTGCTAGAGTGTGTTGGATGTAGACATAGTAATTATGGGGCCAGCCTGAAGCTGGACCTATTACAGTGTCCCAGAGATGATGGTGGTGGCGGTGGTGGTGATGTGTGTGTGTGTGTGTGTGTGTGTGTGTGCATGAGAGAGAGAAGTAGACAATCAGAAAGAGAGAATTTCTACTTAGAGCAATTTGAACATTTTTTATAGAGAAAACAGTATTTGACCAGGCCTTGAAGGATTGATAGCATTTTTACAGTAGTTCCACTGAAGGAGAGAACTGTTTCAAGGAAGAAAAAAATCTAACTTCTTGATCCTAAGAGCCTTGAAGGATTGATAGCATTTTTACAGTAGTTCCACTGAAGGAGAGAACTGTTTCAAGGAAGAAAAAAATCTAACTTCTTGATCCTAAGTAATTCAAAAGAACTGAAGTTGTTAGAGGGTAATAATCAAGAGAATCAATGTACCCAGTCCCTGCAGATGTTAGAATGTGGGGTGTTTGATGCCAGGCTGAGTAATTTGTTGGCCCAGTAAATTCAGGAAAAGTTTAGCACTGATGCACTTGACTGGGGAGGTGAGTAGGGTGGCCTGGAGAAGGGAGACACAGAAGTTTAGGAGATTAGTTCCTTTTTGGTTGTTTACCTATTAGAGATAAATCAGTAGGTATGAAAGACAGTGGGCTGATGTGAAAAAGATTTTAAAGATTAGGAATATTTATTGCATGTGGAGGCAAGTAAAGAGCAAAGAGGATTGGAGCACAGGTTATAAACTTCTCCAGAAGCTTTTCATCTTACCTGGAATATAAGGTCCCCCTAATTTCTTCTGCTATTGGGTTGCTCCCTTTCAGATGTGTGATGGTGGGTGGAGAGTGGGGACCTGAGAAAGCAGAGCCATGGCCAGTGCAGAGCTCAGGGCCAGGGAGGGCAAAGCCCTGTGGGAGATAAGGCCCAAGAAGAGAAGATGATTAGTGTTAAAAGAACTGTTTCTCATGTGGGGAAGTCACCACAGGAAATAAATGAACGTTGTGTTTGAATCCCAAAATTGAGCATGTCAATAATAAAACAAAACACACGTGGCCTTTAGGGTAACAACTCATTTGGGAGTGAAATTTCTTTTAGTCATTCTTTTATATTTCAGCTTCTCATCTGAGTAATATACATTACATAGTTCTCTCTCTTCACAATCAGCTGTACATATATCACACTTCAATCTTTTGATTGTTTTCCACCTCTCTGTTTCTCATTTTGTTTTCACAGTAAACACTATGTCAGGCACATGATTATATTGGACTGAGTTATTGAGAAAGATTGCCAGATCTCCTTCATACAAGTCATTTCAAAATGGATAAGATTATCTTATGTTTATTTGGAATTCAGGTGGTGTGCAGTTTTGTGGGGAAGTCAAGATTTCATTAAAAGTTTGGGAAAAGTTCAAAATTGGTTTAGTTCTTTCTTTAAGGAAAAATATTTTTCAGACTTCATGAATCCTATGCCACCTTTATGAAGTTCATAAGGATTTTCTGTTTATACATAGGACAACTGAGAGATTGAGTGATTAAGGGTGTGGTTTCTCTAAAAAAATACTAAATTCCTCAATATAATTTGGGGTTGGTATTGTATTCCTCACCTATGTCAAGTCCCATTGCCTTAGAAACATGAACAGGTGTGAGGAACACCCACATTTAATTCTCCAGAGGAAGTGAATTTTCAGTTCCCTGACAACATGCAGGCACTGGGAAGCTAGTATGGACTCATTTTTGAGCAACCATGTCTCACTCCTCTCCTTCCACCTGAGCCCATCCTGGGATATTCCAAGTGATTCTCTTCTGGGATTTCTTTTGAAGCTATTGGGAGAGTCTTCTCACCTTTTCTCCCTTTCACTTGCATTCTACCTGTAAACAGAAACAAATAAGGCCACTCGAGGAAGTCTCACTTGTTACATTTAACATTTTTGCTGGAGGCCTATCTGCTTGAAGTTTTTCTCTTTTTTAACCCTCAACAATGGTACGTTATTATCAAAACCAAAACCTATTCGATCTAAATGTAATTGAAAATGACTTTGAAAATGTAATTTGTGTTCAGTTATTGCCACGAAGAGGACACTATTCTGTTTGTACATTCAGTGAGACTGAATTAGTATTTGTTCCTGGGGAACCTCATTAGGCACCCAAAATATCAGGGTTTGTTGTCATTCATTTGACAGTGTGCCAGAAAATTTTTAAGCCAATTCAGGTAAATTGAATAAAGTCTTAAAGTGTTATTTTATGAAACTATCACCTGCTCACCAAATTCAAAATTCAACTTGTAGTTTTTTTTTTGGCAAACAGTTGAGTTGATCACAAATCTTTATTCATAAATCCCTAAAACTGTTTCTCAAACTTAGAGTATGGTAAAAGTGGTAGTGCTTAATTTTTGTACTTTATATTTGATCTGTTTTATTTGAAATGAGAATTTATATTGGTTGGCTATATTCGGAAAATTATTTCTTATATATTTTTAAATTCCTCTGATTTTATGCTTCCTCTCAAATTTTATAACGTCTTTTTTTTCTATTCATTACACAAAACCTTAGAAATATAATTTAAAATATCAAGTTTGGAAAGTGTTATCTATCTTTCTTGTAGTCAAATACCCTAACCAAATTGTTATCATCTCCATTCTTTCCTATTTGCATTATATTTCCTTATTATTTATTTATAACTACAATCTTTAATCCTCTCTCCCTGTGCAATATACTTAAAATTTCATTTCTCTTTATCCACCAACTTTTTGTTCTGTTTGACACTTACCCCCTCATGCATCTCCCCCCACCTGCATTTGCTTAGTTCACTTGTTCATTTCATCATCAACTGTCTTACTTCTCAACCCCCTTCTTTGGAGAGCAGTTGTAAATTAGATGACTCTATGGAAAACTTAATTTCTTTTGTTTTTTCTGACTGTAGGATTAGCTTTAAGAGATAACTTAAAAATATTTACCCACTTCACTTATGATCACAGTTCTTAAAGTCAGTGTTAAAACCCACCTGTGTGACTTGATAAGTTGTGACTTGTATCCTTGATTTAGTATTTGAAATGATTCATTTACCATAATTTGTGAATGACTTACTTGATTTTTTAAAACAGCAAAATAGATTAAATTATTGCCTACAGCAATGTTGTTGTTAGATACTGCATTCTAATTTCATTCTGGGGTTCTGGCAAGCACATGGAGAAATTCCAGGTTCACCGAAGAGCGACAGCCCCTTGTTCCTTCCCACCTTTAATTCTGTCCTGCATAAAAACACACATGTGGATCTCATATGCCCTGTCATACACTGGGAAAGAAAATAAATCCTCTGTTTTATGTTCATATATTAAATATCACTTTTACTTTATTGATGTCATTACTCTCCATTTGGTTAAAATCTCTATCATAGTAAGTTCATAAGTATCAGTTTACACTATGGACCAGACTTCCCTAGAATTCTCTGTTTCTCTGAACAAAAACTAACTCATGCAAGACTACCTGGTCTCACAGGAGTGATGGGTAGAGAGACCCAATCTTAGGAACAGACAAATTGCAAGCAACCCTGAAAGCTGGGGCCAGGAGCCATAACAGTGCTCTGTTGAACAAGCAGTCTGTTCCTGAAAGACCCGGGTGAGGTGGGACTGAGTGACTTAGTCCCTCTGCTAGGGATGTGCATTCCATGGAAGGCGCTCCTCACCAATCAACATCGGTCATGAACTTACTCCTTGGCTTGGATGGTCAGCTCTCTTATTAGTCCCATCAGACTGAACCTGTGGGATTCAATTTGAATCAGTGGGAAGGAGGTGATTCCTCATGAATGAGGATGTTATTAAGAAGGGAAAATTGATACTGGGTGGTCAAAAACAACCACCACTAGACTAATATCTCCAAACAGAAACCTCATTCCCATTTGTGGGGTCATCTCACATTTGGACTTTCAGAATTATTCTGTGTATTTTCTCACATTTAATCTAGAATAAATATTTTTTTCAATATTTATTAAGCAATGACCATGTTCATTTTACAACCACTAATCTTGCTTTTAAACTCTGCTTTTGTTAAAATAATTCATGCATGTGAAAAAAGCAATCAGAGAAATGGTTTTAGAATGAAGTAAAACCACTCCATGCCGCATTGCTTTCTAATGCTAGACCTCCTGCCAGCTGCAACACATTTTAACTCTTGGCTGGTTCTGATTCTTCTGTTCACTTATTTTTCACCGTTTTATTAAATCTGCTATGTCACTGTTTATTGATTGACCACATTAGACTTTTTGTTCTGATCAATGAGGACTTGCTTCATCTGTATCTCCTTCCCACATCTTTTTCCTGCATTTTCCTAACAGTTATACAAGTAGTTTTTAGATTTCTTATTGATTGTTGTGTAACTTTGAGTCATTTCATAACGTGATTGTCTCTTATTTCATCAAATTGTCTTAGATTAATATCCCACTTTGTAGGTTGATGATGTTTTCACCCCTACTATTTCCTTCAGCTCTTCTCTTTTTCCCACTTGCAGATCTCTGTTATCTGATCTTTCATTTTTATGTTATCAAGGTTGAAAATACCCACTTTCTGTAATTCACATTAAAGTTTTCTCATCATCATCTAGAGATTACTCCTAATAGAAATTAATAAAAAGGTCTTGCATTATTTGACTATTTCAGGGTGTATATAGCTACATAATGTACCTAAATTACACTTGTTTCATGTAGTATCTAATTTCCCTTTTTATTTCTGGATGGTTTGAAAGTACCACAGCCTCTCTATTTTGAACTCCCTAGTCCAGCCAGGTGTTCCTGGGACTCGCCTTTGTTTCCTTTTCTCTCTGACAGGTCTCTCTTACCCTTTCTCCTTGGAATAGCTGCTCAGCTTCCCTGGATTGGTGTCAATATTTCTTGGATTCTAAAATTTCCTTTATCCAGGTTCATTCCATTGTTTTTTCTTTAGCACATCCTCAGGTAACTTCTTATGAAAAAGTGTATGTAATGTAAAATATCTGAGTCACTGCATGTCTGGAAAATGTCCTTATTCTTTCTTTCCACTGAGAAGGAAGAAGTGCCATTAGCTGGGGCGGGTCTAGTACTAACTGATGCTCCTGTTAACATAAACCATTTCACAGAACAGCAGCCTCAGTCAAGGTAACTGTAACCATGAAGGAGCACATAAAACATTCAGGATAATTCTGTAATTGTGTCTGAGCACAGATAACAGCAAAAACACAAAGTAAGCCATAAAAACATCCAGCATCCTCTCTTCTAGCTGACATGAGTGACTCTTGGTTCTGTACCAGTGAAGCTTTAGACCTACCTGTACCGTTTCTTCTGATTCCTAGAATAAATCATTACAAAACCTAACCATAGGATTTTCCCACCTCCTGACAGCACTCAATCAAAGCAAGCCCTAGTCCTGTACTCTTCTCAAAGTCACTCACCACAGGCCTAAAGCCTGTAACACAAACTGTCCTAACACCCGCTGATGGAGGTGCCCATGGATCCCCAGGGGTCAGAGGTCTCCTCTCCTGGAAGCAAGAATCAGTAGACTCAACCTGTTCAACTACAAGTCTGTTTCTGATGGTTTGGACTGGTGGATACTGACAAACCTTATTTATAATTTTGCTGGATGTAGAATTTTAGGCTGAAAATCTCATTGTCTGAGAACCTTGTAAGAATTACTTACTGTCTGTTAGCCTCAGTCCTCTGACGAGAAGCTTGGTGCCAGTCTAGTTTGTGCTCCTTTGTAAATGATGTGGATTCAGTTTCTTTCACAGTTTTAGGGCAAAGGATAACATTAGGTAATATTTATTGAGTACTCGTGATGTTTCAGGCATTAAATAGTGCATTCTTCATGCCTTAGCTTATTTAAGCCTCAGGAAAAACAAATGAGAGAGCTACTACCTGAAGTTAATATAAATGAAGCAGCTGGCTCAAGGTCACACAGCTAGTTAGTGGCAGAGCTGGACTTCTGCCCAGATCTGTCCTACTCTTAATCCCTAAGGTCGCCCAATTATGCTAATGATACTTCAGGATTCTCTCATAACCATTCTGGCATAAAGGTTTACTTAGTAAAAAAGTTGAAACCACTGATTAAAATCAGGAATTTGAGATTACATATGGCTTTCATTGGCAAGGCAATTCCCAATTTACAAATGGGCTTGGTTTTAAAATTTCCTCATCTTTAGCTGAATGTAATTCAACCTTGGAGAAAAGAAAGTCAGCAGCCAGTCCAAAGAGGATAAGATATGATGAACTTCTGTCTACATACAAAAAAGTTGGAATCATTTTGAAACACTAGCATTCCTTACTAGCATGCTTGAGCAAAAGAGGAATTTGCATTATAGAAACCTATACATTTCATTTAGATAATCAAATAAACTCTGTTTTATTTATTTATTGGCATTTGAAATGCTATCAAGGAAATCAAAGCTGATAATTCACAGTTTAAATAGAAAGGTCCATGTAAGTGAAGGTAGGGTAGGACAATGGCTGCCAGACCCAGATCTCTGTTGATGACATCTCTGCATCGGAAGCTCTCATCAGAATTTCCACGCCACCTGTCAGATCATACAAATGCTGAAAAGCTACTCAACTCTCATCAAAATCTTAGCAACCTTTGTTTATCCCTTTTTCCATTCCAAATTTTTGCATGGGCTCTAGATTTCTGTGCATTCATGAAAAAGAAGAGCAAGTAACATGAGCTAGTTTGGGGGATGCCATGTTGTCAGAGTACCTAGAGCAGTCAGACTTTGAAGATATAATGACTTTCCACCTGGGGTGAACAGTGCAATACTTGGATTTACTGTGGCCAGGCAGAAGAGACACAGGGTTTAGAATATGAGTGGTGGCATAGAGAACATGGAATCACTGGTTGACTTAGAACACAGCTCACCTCTTAGAGAGTGAGTACTTCAGAAACTGTAGAACAATTATTCCTCCCATCATCTCCTAGCTTTAAGGGATTCTTGTCAATAGTATGATAGCTCTTGTTGGTCTCTAGAGTGGGATGCTATTGCAGAAAATTGTGTGTGTGTGTGTGTGTGTGTGTGTGTGTGTGTGTGTGTGTAGAAAGATTTCCAAAGTACCTGTTCCCAGTTCCCAGTTAGTTGGTAACTATTGAGGGTGTTGTGAGCAAGTGGAGGTGGAGGTGAGGATAAGGGCATCTATTTGCTGTTCCTTAGTGATTGTGGAAGCTCAGTGTCAGTGCTGAAAAAGCTAGTAGCTTCTGGGAATCCTGGACTGATGTAGATACTGGTTAGTAAAAAAAGTTACAAATTCCTGCAAGCATTGTACACAGGTTAGTCGACTGGTTTTATGTAACACACACTTGAGTAGGGATACAAAGTTCCTTAAAAGTCAAGGAAAAGGAGGGAGGAAACAGCCTGAATCCCACACCATTCTATTCTGTAGGTGGAAAACTCACAAGAATTTTTCTTCTCCCATAAAGGAAAAAAATGCATCATCATCACATTTTCTCTGGGTACTTTAGGTCCCTGCATTCTCAGGTTTTCATTTGCTCTCCTGCAGGCATCATGGGCTCGATGAGAGATGAGAGAAGACATGGTTTTCTTGAGAACCAAATCTCTGGATATTTCTAATGTGTTACAGCTCAATTTTGCTAGCCATTTCTGATACAGTATAATCAGTGCTGAATATGTTTAGATCCAGTAGCCCAATCATCCCTTCCAGCAAATTGGTGGTGCTGGAGAGAGGAAGAAGTGAAGAGAGGGAATTGACTCTGGCTGTATGGAGAGGAATGTTTGATTTAGTTTCTCCTGATAAAAATGCTGATAGGCCAAAAAGGAAAAGCCACATCACACAGAGCTACACAGCCTACTATAGAATAAACTTCACATTTTTGCTAATTTTATCTGTTACTGTCAAAATGACTTATGAAAAGACAACAAACAAAACAGACAAAATGTCAAATGCTCTGTTCTCTCAAGGAATAGCTGAATCTTTTTGCAAAATTGGTAATTCTTATTGCTCTGAATAGAATTATATAGGTCAAAGTATCACCCCCGATACTGATTTCTGTTGTTGATGACCAATAGTCTGGGTGAATGGACAGTTACTTCATTGTCTGCCATGCATCAAGATTACTGCTGATAAAAGATGGTCATTTTGTCAGTTGATTGAAATATTGGTATGTGATTATTCACAAACTCCTGGAAAAGCTTCTTTAGACCCATTCTGACTCAGTGGTCTTTATTTTCTAAGATAAGATGCCACGAGCAATTTCCCTTCACTGTCTTTCTTAAATTTCCCTTTTTTGATGTAGTCGATTTAGCCAATAAACTTTAGTATAACTGGGGTAGCAAGGTGTCCAATACCAAGTGCAGGAAAATCAGCTGTTAACAGATTATTGCTGGGTTCAAATCTAAGCTTTACCACAAACTAGCTATCTGAACATGGCCTTAATTTTCATATCTTAAAAACAGGAATATTAATAATATGTACCTCATGAGGTTATTGGGGGAGTATACTGAGGTTGTAGAAGTGGTTAAATTGTGTCTTACATATAGAGTAGGTGCCAAACAAATGAACTGAGGTTCACTCTCAGTCAGTGTGCATGGACACTAGGTACAAACAGAGAATAGTTAAGAACTCACTTTGGGCTTAAGTAAATTCAGGTATTATTAACTCTCAGCCATAGTAAACCTGCAGTAGAATTTTAATGAATGTAGCACATTTCTGTGGTAATTAACAGTGGAGGCTATGGAAAGTGTACTATTTCATTCTAGGAACTGCCTTCACATCTTTCCCAAACCTGGAGTATAAACAGAATACCTTAACCTCTGAAGTTGTCTCAATAGAGAATCTTTTTTATTAGGGAGACTCAAGTTCTCCCAAGCTCTTCTCAATATTTAAAAATGTGGTTGACTTTCTGTAAATTGAGAAAACAGTAATAACAGTAATTCTCACATATGTACAAAGGAATTGAAGAAACCTTTGTGAACTATCTCCCAGATTTAGAGACCCCTAAAGACGGTTCTACAAGATGGAAGGTTTCAGAATAGACTTGTGAGATACTCAGTGACTATAAACAACCTTCTTCATGTTTGATTTTTTTTGCAGTACTTCAAAGATTTAACAGAAAGGTTCAATCTTTCATACATTTTTCAACTCCCATTTCTCTGGATAGCCTGGGGTAACGTCATAATTAGGTAGGGAGCTATTTGAAGGCCTGACACACAATAGATATCATTTGAATATTTGTGTAATCCATGAATCTTCTTGAACATTTTAATGTCTCCCTACCAGAAAATGCCTGTATTTCTTACATGCCATATCACCCTATTGAAATTCCCTTTCTCTGTCATTTTTTATAAAATATTATTCCAGCCTACCAGCAAATCCATGGCAGCGTGCTTCCACAAAACCCACAGGGTTCAGACATAAGGACTATGGAAAAAAAAAACAACAAGACAAAACCAAAACTGGTAACATAATTCTCTACAGATCATTAGAAACCAGAGGTCTTCCACCAGTGGTTAGAATTCACTTTAACTGGACAAGATGAAAAGTACGTTTGCAAGTAACAAAGACTCCTAAACATTATGGCAGAGTATCTTTTCTCTTCTCTTACAGATGCTGTTGGAATCTCAGGATTGCAATGAGTGCATTCTTGCTACTGAGTGAAACCTGTAAGAAAAAATTGGATTTTATTGAAGTATGAGGTGTTCCAAACACTCATTGCTTTGGTCTCACTTGAAAAACAGCTCCCGCACAGCTCAGAGATATATTAATATCTCTTCTGTCAGTTCTTTTGGTTGCAACTAAGCCAAGAATGAAATTCACTGGAAGTTGTAAGTAACAGAGGATCTTTGTCATAAATGCCAGAAAATTATTGTGGGGAAAAATTACATTTCATCAGCATTTTTCAAAGGTTGTTTCTATGCATGTTTTTTCCTTTAAGTGAAAAGAATTTCATTTCAGACTGCAGTAAGTCCTGTCCTGGTGTGGTCTGGGTTGAGATATGGAATTGAGCCAAAAAAATGTGAACAACCTTGAAACTTTGTACCTGGGGAGGTATCATCCAAATGACTTCAGATTTAGGTATGTCATTAAATAACAAATGATCATTTTATGGCTTTGGGGGTTTATATTGCTTTGTCACACTTCAAATAGTGACAGCTTTCAAAATACGTGCAGAATATTGATGTTCTCATTTCTGTGAGTAAATGTTTGCCAGGTATAAAGTCTGCTCCTTTTTTCAAAATCCTTGATTGCCCCTGACATTTGGGTATCATTTTCTTGCTTTCCCTTACTGACATCTTCTGTTTTATTCGCACTAAATGAGTCCAAGGGAAGAAAGTGATTAGAAAATGAGTAAGGACTTAATAAAGACCGTAAGTATGTTAATATTTTTTATTTAAATATGAAAGGGTCAGCAAAAGCTGTTTTCTCATTGTAAAACTGACCCTGTTATTCATGTGTTTCTACATTAAAGCAGTCTAGCTAATATTAAATTTGGTTCTTTAAAAATAATGGAGGTGAATGGATTCATGGCTATTATTTAGGTTATAATTCAACATTTACAAGGTCCATGGTACTCCTGAAGAGTACTGAAGAAGGGAGCCATTTATAATACAGCTCTACACAAGGAAACCTTGCATAATTGTTAGGTAGAAAGATAGACATGAGCAGCCACCCAGACTGTCCAGGTAGGGGTCCCATGTGAAGACAACAATGGCCTTGCAGGGAGAGAACTTCTTGCCTATTGGGACTGGGCCAAACTGGTCCCAACCTGATCCCAACATGGACAAAATGGAACAAA